AAATTTTAAATATCGCCACGTTATATAAGTCAAATTAATGATAAACATATAGATTTATGGTTAATTTTTCTGATTTAACTTAAGATCGCACGTTATGAAAGACTTGCTAAAGAACATAATGAAATTGCTCATAAATATCGATAAAATTGCACTTATTTTAATTAATGAAAAATTCATAAAAATTTTTGCATTTTATTAATTCTTTTAGAAGAGTTTTCTACAGAATGGATAGAAAGTAACTAGGCATTGAGAAATCTCTGCAATTTCTATACTTCTTAAGCAAAGATGATGAAAATTATTTGATCTATACTTTATTAAATGGAAATATCGATGCATATCTTAAAATTCAAAGTAGACACCGGTGGCATCCATCAATTTCCTCAAACAACTGGAAATGGTAATGTGGATAAATGGCCATTTCTCTATGCGTGTGCGACCAAACCTGTGGAAATTTTAGCTTCGAATAATAATTTTTGATTGTTTCCAGATTGATTGTAGTATGACATCTCTTCACCGTACACTACCCTCTCTGCACAGCAATTACTGATTTCAACACCTCATAGAGTGCTGAACAGACAAGCTGTAGCCATCGATTATTCACTGCAGGTGTTGTATCTCTCCTTCATTGTCTACACTACTAATGCAGGAATTATAAATTTCCATTGAGTATTGTATATTCATATATAAACTCTGTTATTATTACTTTAAGATTACAAAAGTTATAGTAATTTTTCAATACCTAGTTATTTTTTAACTCATCCTGTATATTGATAATTCATCAGGATCCTCATTAATTTCATAATTTAAATCAGTGACTTTTAATCTGGGGTTGCACACACCCACAGAGATGCGACACATTTTTACAACGGCAGTATGTAAACGTTAATGTTGAAAACTGTACATACAATATAGTAAAACCTCGATATAGCGCTATCCTAAACAGTACTATCTTCGTAAAGTAACAATGAATACCTGTGAATTAAAAAACCCTCCATTATGAAGTGATTTTCTTTCTTTATCGTCATATTTATTAACACTTAAGATAAATGAATTTTTCAGCAATTTTTTTTAATGTTAATATATATTTTTATACAAGAAAAAAAGAAAATAATGCATAAATCTCTGGAAATTTTAGAAAATTTCACGAAATTTTACTTAATTTCTCCCAATTAAATAGTTTTGGTTCGGTATTTATCGTTAAACTAGGACGATTTATAAAATAACAAAATTACGAAACGTGATTGGTTGAAGACGAAAAGAAAGGTTCATAGACATGATACAAATCGTGCGATGATTGGTTGGATCTCGTTAAACGTAATTATTATCAATGTCAATCATTTTTTTGAATATTTTATAACGAACACCAGTTTAATTAAAGTATTTTATAAGCAGAATTTTAAATTTAAAAATTTTATGTTATCGAAAATTTAATCTATAGAATTCTTTATCTAAATGTAAAATCTTTGATAATTATTTAACTTTTTTTTTTTAATTTAGAAACTAGATAAGACATAATTGTTAGCTATAGCTCTAACACATTAGCTAGCATTATAATTGATAAGAATCAGTGATAAGTTATCAGTTTTGTATTGAAGTTCATTAATAAATGCAAATCTTTTTTCTATACTTTCGTTATAAATAGTACAAGTTGAGAAAAGGCTGCACACGTCGCATCGTTCGCATCCAACGTGATACAAATCATCAAAATAAAAGGATATTAAAGAATTAAAGTAATACATTTATAAAATGGAACCTTTATGATAGATTTAAGGACATTTTAGGAAATTAAAACTTTAACTTAAGCATTAGGGGGCTTTTAATTTGGAATGATGTAGCACGATAACGCGAATCGCGCTGCGTAGCGCCAATGAGCGCTTCCTTTGCTCGAAAGAATTATAGAGTTATAAAGACTCCAATTGACAGGTTTAAAAGATTTAAGGCATTTTAGAGAATTACAATACTCATAAAAACCTAAATAGGGCTATAATATTGAGAATTATTAAATATTTAGCATGAAGTCGCTACTTTGTTGTACGAAGCGCTTGGTCGCATAAGACTTATAAATCTGTTCAATGAAAATTTAATGAGAAATTTATAAGACTTTCTTTGATTATAGTATTTGTATTAATAATACCTTAATCAGGAGATATCAGTATATATATTTTATTGGAAGAATAGAATTTAATAGGCTTAATTAAAATTATTTATCATTTTTAGTACTAAACTGACAATTCTCTAATTCGTGTTCAGAAATAAGACGATTCATTAATAAGTCACAAAAGTAAACATTTTAGTAAATTAATACCTTTAAATTGTTTAAATTATTTTCAGTTTTATCGACATTTTTCGACAATGAAAACCCACAACTTGACGATTGCAGTAGAACCGTTTTATTTCGAAAGAACCTTTTTTAATCCTGATTTTGTCAGATATTTCTTTGGAAATTATTGGCATTATTCCATCTACATCTCCATCGTCTACTTGATGACCATCAAAATCCTTCAGCATCACATGAATGATCGACCTCCTTATAACTTNATGCACCAAATCGAGAAAATGGTGACGATTACGGCAAGTTACGTGACATTAAATTAAGTGTCAAGTTACTGGATGTAGATATAGACAAGAATCGAGAAATTTCCAAAATTCAAAGGTCAAAACAGGTTCAAACTCATAGGAACGTTCATGGAGACGTTTGCGAAATGAGACACAGTCCTTTGAGGATTATAAAGGTAATTTATTTTAATTATTTTGATAAATTAATTATAAATAAAAAATGTAGGAAACTGTATAGAAAATTGCAAAAATGTATATAAAAATATATAGTAAAGGTATAGATGAATGTATAGAAAAATATATAAAAGGAAAGTATTTTAATAATTAACTCTTGTAATATAACTATGTAAACTTTAATTTAAAGATACCATTCATTTGTGAATTTTTACGCGAAAAATTAATTTAGAAATTAATTAAAATTAAAAAATATAATAGGCCCTATATATATAAATTTCTAAGCACGTTCTTTTCTTACAATGGATATAAACAGGTTTCTAGACGACCTTGTAATGGAGAAAAATGAAATTATGTAATATATAATGGATATAAAATTTTAAAAAAATTGACAGAATATCAGCAAAATTTTCAAAAAATTAGATACGTTTTTCATAACATGTATCAACATTTAATTATTTTCTTTCTAGAATCTATAAAATTGTTTACAAAACACTAAAAAAGAAAAAAGAAATATCCAGCAACGAGTTGCGTAACTTTCCCGGAAAACACTTAAAATTGCGTTTGGCGCCATCTGTTATAACGTTATTGAAAGATTTTTATATTATTAATTATTACAAAATAGCAAAAAGCCTAATTTTGAGGGTAGAGACGAGTTTAAAAAATTTTTTAAATGCTAATAACGAGTAAAATCGTCATTAAGCTCGACTCTACTCGAGATATGACACACGACCTCCTCTATCTCCCTATCCCCTTGACCTTTAACCACCAAAATTTAACAGCATTAATCCATCTAATACACAAACATTCCTGCAAAATTTCAGATAATTTTGGTAAAAGACACTGGAGTTATTAAGCTTCAAATTGAGTGAACAAAATTGTGCCCCTCATACAATCACTAACTTTCATATGCACAGAAACCCCCAACTTTATTTGTATTTCTGGATGTTTCACGCTCCTCTGAGTCCAAAAATGTAAAAATTTTTTGATCACTCGCCATACTTTCCTTCTGTTAAGTACTGTATAATATAACAATCGGAAAGTAAAAGACATTTTTAAAGATAATTTTAAAGCAATTTATATAAATTCGAGTGAAATTTTTTTGATAAAATATATAAATTAAAAGCTTTATTAGCTTTTTTTGGTACTTCTTGTAATTAATTGATGGTTTTTCTAGTGTCAACGACACTAGAAAATGCATCAATTAATGAGTAAGTAAATTAAATATGTCATTTTCATGGTATTTAGCTTTAATTTAATTCCTTTTTTGAAAAAAGTCATAAATTATGTGATTAAACATCCCTCTTGAATCGATTTCAGACAATTTATTGTATAAATTATATGCATTTCTTTGAAAACTTCATCAATATTTTACTTATGTTAAAGTAGAGAAAGTCATTCAGAATTTATTAGAAGTCCTTTTTTTAGATTTAATTATAAAATATTTTTAAAATATTTATGATTTTCTAGCTTCTATAATATTTTTTAAATTAATATTTTAAATTTTAGAATAAATTAAAGCATAAATTCCATTGTAAATACGAAAATTTGCATTGACAACTCCACAATTTCTATATAAAATTAAAGCATAATGGCGCATTAAAAAATGCAAAATTGTAAAAAAATTCAATATATAATAAAACAAAATTTGAGAAAATGCAAAATTTTGTATGTTCTAAATTATAATTTTGCTGAAATTTTGACGTTATGAGAAACTTAAGAAAATAGTCGGTTAGACACACAGTCTGACGAATGGAAGATGTGATGATAATATATAGAACAAAAAAAAATCTGTAATAATACGTGATTTCGAAAGTCAGACGGGGTGTCTGTCTGTCTAATTTTCCACAATATTTCATACCTTCTAAGTCTATATTCAGGATAAATATATCGATTGGACGAGATTTTGGATTGAAAATAATAAAATTTAAACTTTATAACGGATTCAATATTAGTTTTAATTAAATTTTATAAATATTATTAATAAAATTAAATAATATTTTAACGAAAAATCATTATATTTTTATTGAAATATGATATAGTTTTATGTACTGTCTTCGATAGAACGTGTAGAGTAAAGAGAAAAAAATCTTANATAAAGTATTCAAAACTTTAAATTTTGAAGCAAACCAATTAGAGATTATTATCATTAGTAACATACAATTGGTAGGTGTTTTAATTACGATCACGTGACGGAAGTATCGTACATATTCAATAAGATAGCGTGCTTCAAAGAGGGTGGTTACAAAATAAGCTTTTGTGTAGTGTTGACATTACGATCGTAACACTCGACTTTTATAGATTGACAAAGTTAAGTCGACAAGCGTTATTTATTCGTAACGATAATGGAGAAATTGGTGAATGTAACGAGGATATTGAGAAGAGGGTTTAATGCACCAAATCGAGAAAATGGTGACGATTACGGCAAGTTACGTGACATTAAATTAAGTGTCAAGTTACTGGATGTAGATATAGACAAGAATCGAGAAATTTCCAAAATTCAAAGGTCAAAACAGGTTCAAACTCATAGGAACGTTCAAGGAGACGTTTGCGAAATGAGACACAGTCCTTTGAGGATTATAAAGGTAATTTATTTTAATTATTTTGATAAATTAATTATAAATAAAAAATGTAGGAAACTGTATAGAAAATTGCAAAAATGTATATAAAAATATATAGTAAAGGTATAGATGAATGTATAGAAAAATATATAAAAGGAAAGTATTTTAATAATTAACTCTTGTAATATAACTATGTAAACTTTAATTTAAAGATACCATTCATTTGTGAAATAATAATAATAAATTTCATAATGTAAAACGAACTAATTGAATAATATTCCTAATTATCATTAACATTATTATATAAGTAAATAATTTACTTTAAGGAAAAGAAATATGAATTAATTTTTGTATAATAAGAGGACGTTGATCTAGTAATCAGAACTAATTATCATTAGATCAGTGATGCTAAATTAACATAAAATTTTAAATATCGCCACGTTATATAAGTCAAATTAATGATAAACATATAGATTTATGGTTAATTTTTCTGATTTAACTTAAGATCGCACGTTATGAAAGACTTGCTAAAGAACATAATGAAATTGCTCATAAATATCGATAAAATTGCACTTATTTTAATTAATGAAAAATTCATAAAAATTTTTGCATTTTATTAATTCTTTTAGAAGAGTTTTCTACAGAATGGATAGAAAGTAACTAGGCATTGAGAAATCTCTGCAATTTCTATACTTCTTAAGCAAAGATGATGAAAATTATTTGATCTATACTTTATTAAATGGAAATATCGATGCATATCTTAAAATTCAAAGTAGACACCGGTGGCATCCATCAATTTCCTCAAACAACTGGAAATGGTAATGTGGATAAATGGCCATTTCTCTATGCGTGTGCGACCAAACCTGTGGAAATTTTAGCTTCGAATAATAATTTTTGATTGTTTCCAGATTGATTGTAGTATGACATCTCTTCACCGTACACTACCCTCTCTGCACAGCAATTACTGATTTCAACACCTCATAGAGTGCTGAACAGACAAGCTGTAGCCATCGATTATTCACTGCAGGTGTTGTATCTCTCCTTCATTGTCTACACTACTAATGCAGGAATTATAAATTTCCATTGAGTATTGTATATTCATATATAAACTCTGTTATTATTACTTTAAGATTACAAAAGTTATAGTAATTTTTCAATACCTAGTTATTTTTTAACTCATCCTGTATATTGATAATTCATCAGGATCCTCATTAATTTCATAATTTAAATCAGTGACTTTTAATCTGGGGTTGCACACACCCACAGAGATGCGACACATTTTTACAACGGCAGTATGTAAACGTTAATGTTGAAAACTGTACATACAATATAGTAAAACCTCGATATAGCGCTATCCTAAACAGTACTATCTTCGTAAAGTAACAATGAATACCTGTGAATTAAAAAACCCTCCATTATGAAGTGATTTTCTTTCTTTATCGTCATATTTATTAACACTTAAGATAAATGAATTTTTCAGCAATTTTTTTTAATGTTAATATATATTTTTATACAAGAAAAAAAGAAAATAATGCATAAATCTCTGGAAATTTTAGAAAATTTCACGAAATTTTACTTAATTTCTCCCAATTAAATAGTTTTGGTTCGGTATTTATCGTTAAACTAGGACGATTTATAAAATAACAAAATTACGAAACGTGATTGGTTGAAGACGAAAAGAAAGGTTCATAGACATGATACAAATCGTGCGATGATTGGTTGGATCTCGTTAAACGTAATTATTATCAATGTCAATCATTTTTTTGAATATTTTATAACGAACACCAGTTTAATTAAAGTATTTTATAAGCAGAATTTTAAATTTAAAAATTTTATGTTATCGAAAATTTAATCTATAGAATTCTTTATCTAAATGTAAAATCTTTGATAATTATTTAACTTTTTTTTTTTTAATTTAGAAACTAGATAAGACATAATTGTTAGCTATAGCTCTAACACATTAGCTAGCATTATAATTGATAAGAATCAGTGATAAGTTATCAGTTTTGTATTGAAGTTCATTAATAAATGCAAATCTTTTTTCTATACTTTCGTTATAAATAGNATAATATTTTAACGAAAAATCATTATATTTTTATTGAAATATGATATAGTTTTATGTACTGTCTTCGATAGAACGTGTAGAGTAAAGAGAAAAAAATCTTAGTAAAAAGTAAAAATAAAAATATAATTTTTTTGATTTTTAATAAATCTTTGACTTTTTAAAAGATTTTTCATGTTATTAAATCAAAAAATTCTGCAATTTTTAGATATAAAAAGCATTTTTTTGAGGCTTCTAAAATGATGCAAGTTTGTTGAAATACTGCTCATAAATAAAGAAAATTTTTTTTGCTCTAAAATGGTTAAATTTTTGACTCATATTAAGACTTTCTAAAATGATTTTGATGTATATTTTCTGAAATGATTCATAAAATTAATCAGTTTAGATAAATTGGGAAATTCTCTGAAGTCCTTCAAAGTGGGAAGATTACGATGGAACTAAGAGATAAAAGTGAAGCATTCGTGTTTAAACCACAGAAAAAAAATTAAAATTAAAAATTTTGTATAAATTTTGACTAATTTTAATTCAAATGTTATAAAATAATTTATAAAATCGATCAGTGTAAAGAAATTAAAAAATGCTGTGAAGTCCTTCAACATGGGAGGATTACGTTAATCTAAAGGCTAGAAATGAAGCATTTCTGCTGAATTTATTTAAAAGTAAGTTAAAAGTAACTTTTAACTTACTTTTTGAAAGTCTAGGACTTTATTTTGAGTATTTTTGATGACTTTTTAAAGAAAGTATGTATAATATGTAAATACATAACGCTTAAGCAAACATGTCAGGTCATCTTAAATCAGAGAACGTTATACACTTTATATCATAAAAAAATTAAATTTTATTATTCCTTTTGATAAAATCACAAAGATAACGGCATTTTAATGTAATTTTTCTAATTAAAAATGTCATAATTAATAGTAAAATTGAAAATTTTATTTCTAAACGGAAGCGTTAATAAAGAGCACTAGTAACAATCTTCAAAATTAAGATAATAATAAATTGGTAAATATTTACAGTTCTTTTATTTAAAAAAATATAAAATCAGAGTGATTTCATTATTAAAATGTTAAAAATTCATTAAAATTTACAAAATTTTCACTCGAAATTCTTTAATTCTTCAACACCTGAAACATGTCAGAGGAATTGGTGGAAGGGAGTTAAAGATAGAACTTTTTTTTATAGAAAATTCATTATTTTTGAAATTTACCATTTGTTTTAAAAACTTAGCATTCTGAATTACTTATTTTTATATGAATTTTCTTATACATACATCAAATAAAAGCGTGGATGACTGGAATGAGTACTTCAACATGAAGCTCTTCGACGAAGAAACTCATCATCGAACACATAAAAAGTACTACATAATTTATCTAATTTTAAGTATTTATTGCAATTTTAAGTCAAAGAGAGTGAAATAAATTTAATTCTGTACACAAATCTAAAAAAATACATCAATTAAAATGAGATTTTTTTTATTCATAAAACTGGATAAAAATTGTATAGTGCTCATTATTTTTCTACTTTTTCTTGTAACTAAATTTGTCATCATTACTTCTTGAAGTAATGCACGTCGTTAATTCTCTACTCCTTTCTAACTGAAAAAAAACTAAGTTTTTAAGTACTTGGTATCCAAAAAATTCAGCAAAAAATAATTCTAAATTTAAAATATTTATTTAATGCTGCTTAAAAATGGCTCCAAGTGAATCAATAAAACTCATTTTTAAACAAATATAATCAGTTAATTTCCTATGAAATTTGAGAATTACATGCTCCTGTACATTAAAAACACAGGGCAATTTCTAAAAAAGATACCATAAAGTGTTTTCAATTAAAAAAAATTAATTTTTGGTTGAAAATTTTGCCATAATATAGCATTAAATCCATCATAATCACTTACAGAATCATATAGAAATTAAGTATATGAAAATGAATTTTACTTTCGGTCGGTCAAAAAAATGACTCAACTTTCCAATATTTATACATTTTTGGACTCAGAGAAGCTTTAAACGTTCAGAAATACAAATAAAGTTGGGGGTTTCTGTATGTATGGAAGTTAGTGTGTGTACGAGGAGCACAATTTTGTTTACCCAATTTAAAGCTTAATAACTCCAATGCCTTTTGTCAAAATTTTCTGAAATTTTACAGGAAGGTTTGTGTATTAGATAGATTAATGCTGTTAAATTTTGGTGGTTAAAGGTCAAGGGGATAGGAAGATAGAGGAGGTCGTGTGTCATATCTCGATTAGAGTCGAGCTTAATGACGATTTTACTCGTTATTAGCATTTATGATTTTTTTTTAAACTCGTCTCTACCTTCAAAATTAGGCTTTTTGCTATTTTGTAATGATTAATAATATATAAAAAAAGCTTTTAATAACGTCATAACACATGGCGCCATACGCAATTATAAAGGTTTTTGCCGGAAATGTTACGCAACTCGTTGCTGGATTTTTTTTCCAATATAGAAACGAAATTTTTCATATTGGAAAATACAATTACAGTTATATTTATCTAATAATATTGTTAAATAGTACGATAATCTATAAAAATGTCAGCCGAGTATTATATTGTCATACTAAAACACGTCTTTTATTGCTTTCTTCAAAAGTGATAAATCTATTGACATTCAGGATCGATACAGCACCATTTTTACTTATTTATTTATTTATTTTCTGATATAACAACGTGTTTTTCTAATATTTAGAGGTCAAAAAGTTCATTTTCCTTCTAAGAAGTAAACAATTATATTGTTTCTTCCATTATCTTGAACTTCACTTACCTACTCTAAACCTATTTATACGCCTAACTATCTTGAACTTATTTAAATGTTTCATCTGCTTTAAAGCCTTCTTTTTAATAAATAATAATTAAAATATTAATGAAATTTAATGCTTAAATTGATTTTTAAGGGTATTTTGAAGATTTTTAGAATATTTTTCTTATTTTCTGCTAATTAAAATCTTC